CTTTTTTTTTTTTTTTTCTTTTTTTTTTTTTTGACAGGCAGAGTGGACAGTGAGAGAGAGAGACAGAGAGAGAAAGGTCTTCCTTTGCCGTTGGTTCACCCTCCAACGGCCGCCGCTGCAGCCGGCGCACCGCGCTGATCTGAAGGCAGGAGCCAGGATCCAGGTGCTTTTCCTGGTCTCCCATGGGGTGCAGGGCCCAAACACCTGGGCCATCCTCCACTGCACTCCCTGGCCATAGCAGAGAGCTGGCCTGGAAGAGGGGCAACCGGGACAGAATCCGGCGCCCCAACCGGGACTAGAACCCAGTGTGCCGGCGCCGCAAGGTGGAGGATTAGCCTATTGAGCCACGGCGCCGGCTCGATTCCCAGGGTTTTGAGAGCTGTGTGCCAACAAATGGAGCCAGAGAACAAACAAGGATGTCTTAGCATGTCACAAGTGCATGTCTTTAGACATTAGAGATGGGAATGAATACTGTGCCTCCTTCCTGGGGCTGTAAGGTAGCGGACTGGATGAGGTGATGCAGGTTAAAAGGGACCGTGGTTAGTACTAACCACATCATAAGTGCTCCATAAATGACAGCACCTGCCATCACCCTCCTGGTTCTTATTTTATTCTTGCTGCATGCCTTCTGCCCATTCGCACTCTGTGTTAGCTCCTGGAGTCTGGTACAGCCAACCTTCCCCGCCAAGGCAAGTGCCTGCCTGAGGACCCTGGGTCCCCCTGCCCTGACCTTGCTTCAGTCCTGCCTCCTAGGACTCACTAAACCACTTCTGCCGAGCAGTGCGCCCAGGCACGAAGCCTCACCTTTGGCAGCTCCAAAGTCCACGGCCCTCTTACCCAAGGGCAGGAGATAGCCAAATAACACGAAGCAGCTTTCCCTGCTCTGCATAGCTTCTGTCTCCATTGAAAGATGTGAGTCACTCCGCCCCAAGAGACCTCAGAAGGCATAGACTCTCTGGCCACTGTCCTGCTGAAGCCTGGCGGGATTCCAGGCCCCCAGGGAGGGACGGAGCTGTGGGTAAGGGACTCGCTTCACCAGGACACCCTGCAGAAGGCAGACAGCCCTTGCTCAGGCTCTAGGTCGCTTCCTTGGAGCTGAGGGAACCCCAGGGACCTCTCACTGCTGAGACTTGAGATCAGATGCCTGGGGGTAGGGAGTAGCAACAAGGACGGGCTGGCCATGCTGGAATCTTATGCAGCTTCCCTGCCTCTTGGGGAGAAGGAAGAAACATGAACTGTCTGTTTCAAGGTGGCCTAGGGCACAGAACACGCCCTGCCAATGGACTCATGTGGCCCCAAGAAAGTAGACTCAATAACAGGTTAAAGAAAGTGGTTGGCCCCAGGACAAATGGTCAGGAGGCACCCAGGGTACCCAGCGAGGAGCCTCTCTTCTGTCTGCAAATGACCATAAAAGGAGAGAAGGCCTCCTGAGCACTGAATGGGGACCTCTCGGAGTGAGTCACCCCCAGGCAGGCACTCCCAGTGACCACACAAAGTGGAGCCGCCCTGGGAGACCCGACTCTCCGGTTATTCCAGTCCCTAGAAAATGAGGGGGTTGCCTCCGCCTCTGGCTTCGGGTTTCCCACGATGTTGGTCCAACACACATCTCAGGCCAGGGCGAGCCCCGCCTGGAGCACGGACTGTGGTGCCCATGAGTGTGGCCAGCCCTGCAGGGAGGGGCTCAGGGAGTTCCATCCATGGCCACAAGGCGATGAGTAATGGGTACAAGGCACAATGTCCAGATCTAAAGATCTGTCACTAGCTCCTGTATGCTCTTGTCTGATCGTTTATGATGGAACAAGGACATAAGCCGACGCCAAACTTGCAAAACCTATACGGAGAAACTCACCTCCATCCCTCACCCCTCTAGACCCCCAGCCCACTTCTGCCACATGGTTGGTCTGTGTGCACGTTGGTCATCGGTCACCCACCTCTGCGAATTTACTTTCCCTGAATAAATTCGTTTTGGCTTGGAGTTCTTATCCTGTCTCCTCTCTGTTCTGTGCCCCTTCTCCTTACAATTTAACTGTCTGGTGTAAGGCTGAGGGATACATTGAAAGAACTGATCTTTTGCCTGACTACGGAACTTAGGGGGCACTTAAGATCTGGTGGCCATGGGGTCAGAGGGAAAGAGAAGAGAGAAGAAAATCCCAGATTATGTCAATCATATATATAATATATTTTATAGATATATTATATATTATAATATTATATTATATATATTATATATTATATACGATTGACATAATATATATTCTATATTAATATATAATATATATATTATATATATTCATTGTATGTCCCAGGTACTCTGATGGGAGGCACGGAAGCCTTAACAGCTAGGCTAACCATCCACCCGCAGTTGTCATATATTTCCAACCACGAGAGGTTAACCCTCCTGGAGAGCTAGCTGGTGGCATCCAGCTCCACCCACACCCTGACACTGTTCCTGATGAATTGGCCAGACCGGTCAAATAAGACACATACTCCCTGCTCTTGAGATGCTTAAAGTCTGATCAAGCATTTAAGAAAAAGAAAAAAAAAGCTATATGCATTCCTCTGAATTTCTGGAAGAACTTCCTTCCCGGAGTGGCCACACTGATGTGCCTTTTGGTCGCCAGCAAAGGGACTGGGAGTGATGCTGGCTAACTGTATCCCAGACAAGAATGGATACCCTTGGGGCCGGCGCCGCGGCTCACTAAGCTAATCCTCCACCTAGCGGCGCCGGCACACCAGGTTCTAGTCCCGGTCGGGGCGCCGGATTCTGTCCCGGTTGCCCCTCTTCCAGGCCAGCTCTCTGCTGTGGCCAGGGAGTGCAGTGGAGGATGGCCCAGGTGCTTGGGCCCTGCACCCCATGGGAGACCAGGAGAAGCACCTGGCTCCTGGCTTCGGATCAGTGCGGTGCACTGGCCGCAGTGTGCCGGCCGTGGCGGCCATTGGAGGGTGAACCAACGGCAAAGGAAGAC